TACTTTTAGGAGCATGATGGTCAGTTTGATGTTGAATGTTTTGAAAAAGTTTGTGTTGATGAGACAATGGTTTTCCTCGGTGAGATAAATCGAAATACTGGGATACTAGAATGGCAAGACTTTCCATCTACACATGACCTTGAAACACACCTGAGGGCGGTGTTTACAAAACAGATTGATCATTATGGGTTTTGTTTTATCAAATGTGCAGTCAGCACTCACAAGTTAGCTCAGCAACTACTGATTGTACCGCCTTTTATTCCGCCTAATAAGAATTCAAATTCGCTATCAAAATTCAATATTAATATCATGCTAGTCGATTCGGTCTCACATAGTCATTTTCTTCGCTCCATGCCGACAACTCTCAAAACACTTCAATCAATTCAGAAAACATCAACATCAGTATTTAATTTTGAATTATTTCAGTCTCTGAAAGCTAGGACTTACGAAAACTTACAGGCAATGGTTTCTGGTGTGTTGTATGACGACGAGAGACCGTATTTAGAGCCAGAATTACCACCTGTGCCAATATATCTAGAACGTTTGTTATCCGGATTCAAAAAGCAAGCATACGAAACCATGTACACGGAAGACCTTTGTTGGACTTATAGATCAGGACTTGTAAAAAAGCTTTTAGCATTGATGCCAAAAGGCAACATCACAACCAGGTGGCAACGTTTGAAAATGAAGTTGGAAAAAGCCAAGATTGATCGCATAGATATGACATTATCGAGTTGTGAGATATTACATTATAATAATATATATAACCCATTTTTTGGACCTCCAGCAGTATGCTACAACGGGCAATATCAACACCATTATATATTGGATTACCTGAGTAAAAGACAGAAGTCTTTAGAAGCAAACCATCGGTCGTTTTTTCATATCACGTTGCTTAACATAAATCATGAAGGACGTGGTCGTCGTATACAGACTCTAGATGACAGTTTAGCGGATTATTTAAAAATCGCTTCAAAATTAAACAACACATTTACCATCGTTCTCTCTGATCACGGAAATACCTACGGCGAATATATTGGGAGAAGTGAAGAAGGTAGAGTGGAAATGTTTCATACTTTTTTATTTATGGTTGTTCCACCAGGTGTTTCCAAAACCTTAGGAGAAAAGCGTATGAGTGCATTAAATGTGAACTAACAGCGTCTTGTGAGTATTCTGGACATCCATTATGCTCTGAGGGTTTTAAGCGAAGGAAAGGTAGATAAATTAGATGAAAAACACCAGAAATATTCAGTTAAGGCTGATGGGATCTTCTCAGAGATAGCATCAAACAGATCGTGTGATAGCATTCCTAAAATTGATCCAAATATCTGTATCTGTGAGGGTTATGAATATCCTGCTGACAATAATGCAAGTTACGCAGTGATGGCGGAATTCGCTCTTGGTTCCATCAACAACGCAATACAGCAGCAATTTCGCAAATCAAATCCAGATGCAATGAGAGGCTTTGGTTCCTGTCAACGACTAGTGGCACACGATTTTGGTAACATCAAACAAAGACAAAATGAGGTATATATACTGTCTCTTATACACATCTAGATGTGTATAAGAGACAGCATGTAAGCATGTTGTATGTACGGATACTCTCGTAGGACCTTCCAGTAATTTTTCTATTCGAGAGAAATTTACATGTATATATGCTATTATTTGTGTTAAATGTAATAAGGTTTATATAGGAGAAACGAAAAGGAGGCTTGGAGATAGATTCGTTGAACATTTGCGCTCTATCAACCTTAACACATCAGGTCTTCCTATAGCCGAACATTTTAATGATAATCATGATATTAATAATGATATATTAGTTACCGGTATCAAACAACGCAATTCATCTGAATTTAATCGTAGACGTTTGGAGGAACGTATTACTTTTCAACTAGGAGTAGTAAGTATGGACGTTATAGGAGGTTATTAAATATGTAAAGTAAACAATGGGAATAATATGAAAACAATTGTTTATATTATATATAAATAATGCAAGGTACACGGTCTGTCTCTTATACACATCTAGATGTGTATAAGAGACAGGTTTGAAACATACGAACGATAAACCACGAAAGTCCTAACATTTACAATTAGGCCTACTATTTTTTTTTCTCTTTGCGGCAGGAAAGCCATTTGTTACCAATCACAATAAAAATCAATATACACTATAATAATAATAATAATAATAATAATAATAATAATAATAATAATAATAATAATAATAATAACTCAACGTTTGTACTTTCACAAAACTAATATAGGCCAACCTTATTGGCAACATTTTCAACACATTCATTTTGTTTTGTAAACTTTTGCATAATTTTTATCTCACAATAATTATAGCAATCAGAGCAATTTATTAATTATTTTATGCACTCCTATATAATTATGTTATCTATCGTTCTTAGGAATGAACAAACACATTTTCATCATTAATTCTTTCATTTTTATTTATAAATGCAAGCCTCATTAATAGAAATATGAAACATATCTATATTTTTCGACGTTGGTGTTCGCAGTTAATGCCCTGTTCAACCTATCAATTTTTATTTGACATGCCTATATATGGTCATTATGACATCACGTCATGACCACAATATAACTACATCATGACTATATATGGGTATACAAGTTTTTTTTCAAAGAAAATTTTATAATTTGGACAGAGCTTCATCGAAAATGCTCTCATAGTGTATATTTATTCTAGAATTTTCACTCATTTACCTACGATAAATTTAACTTCACATTGGATAATTTTGGCTGTAATTTGGTGGGTTTATTTAGATTTATCTGTGTATTTCCCCATAAATATTCTTTTATTTCTACAGCTGTTTTAGTCATTGTTTTACTGACATTTTTAAAGCAATATGTTAATATCGCTTTGAATATTTTAGTTAATCTATTCAATAAAAATTTTTAATACGTTGACATTTGATATAATATGAGAATAAAAATGAGAGCGTAGTTTTGTATATTATACTTACATTATTATGTTTATAGTATACTTTATTATGTTTAATTGTGATTTATAAGGGAATAAAACATCACAACGGAAACTGTCTTGATTGACCACCGTTAGTTGTAATCATATGTAGGCCTAATTAATGATAGGCCTATATTGGCCGTATTCGACTGGTCGTTCTTCGTTAAACCACGCCCACCTGCGCAGTGGTAACATTTTACTTAACGAAGACGACGAGTCAAATAAAAAACTGGTAAATACTCCACAAAACAAAATGGATGTATAATTACCGCGAAACACGCTGCGTAATCAAGTTTGCTTCGGATTGTGGCAGTAGGCCTATGGGTTTTTCGTTAAAAAATGTTTTCATCCCGTTTTTGAAATTATGTTAGTCTTCAATTTTTGACTTCATGTGGGTAAATATTATAATTTTTATTTTCTGAAATTTAGTCTAAATTATATTAACGCAAATGTTGTTGCTAAACTGACCAATTGGGCAAGTTTGTTTGTTTGTTTATTTGTTTGTTTTGTTTGTTTGTTTGCATTCTGGTTACGTTAATTTTCGTTGTCAACGAAGTCTATTTCACGAATCAGTAGAATGAAAATAATACTCAACGAAAAATCGTAGTCAACGAAATGAACCAGTCGAATAAGCTCTTTGCTTTTTTTGTCTATTGTTTAATTTGGTAATACGTTAAGAATACTGTAGCGTTTTCTTAACCCGGGTATTCTCTGCGCCCAACAGTCGTCGTGAATTATAAGGATTGCGTTGAACAGAACATGTAGGGACATTCCTAGAAAGAATTGAACCAAATATTTGCATCTGCCAGGATTATGAACACGATGCAATAAATAATGCAAGGTACACGGTGATGGCAAATTTCGCTATTGACAATTTAAATAATGAAAATTCAACAACAATTTCAGGCATCGAATTCCAACACCAAGGAAAAAATTGGTCTTGTCAACGTCTAATCTTGAAAGCATCAAACAAACCTTTTATAAGGTTAGACATGATACCAAAGAACTTAAATAGCAGAAGAATGAGCTGTTCCGCGTATTTGCATTAAAATTGATGGAACATCCGCCCTCCCGCAAATGGGGTAAAATTTTAATATGTTACTAAGTGGAGAAACTACAGGAAACAAATGAACCAGAGCGGCGCCTTTATTATTACTATATAGCGCCGGTGCGCCGGCGGATGGGGTAAAATTGCTCTCCGTGTACCCACAATGCCTTTTGAACGGATGTTCCACTTTATTGGGAAGCTGCTCTATCTTTTGCTATTTATTATCTTTGATGATAAATAACAGCTGCCGCCACTTCCATGCCACTGTCACTACAAAACTACCGTCGCCGCCTGCTACTACTACACAATAATTATACAATTAAGAATATTTAAAGATATAATGAATTTGTTTTCTATTATTCAGAATGGAGATCATGAAGTAAATATGAATATACATATTCAAAACCTGGATAATTCATCATTAACACTTTTATCTTCAAGCGCCAGTGAAAACAGGCGCTATACAAATTCTCCAATTTATTATTATTATTATAATTATTATTATTATTATTATTATTATTATTATTATTATTATTATTATTATTATTATTATTATTATTATCATTATCATTATTAATGGACATATTCATGGTGGCTGTAAAAGTTACGAGGAAGGAAAACGAGGGCATACAGTTTGTGGCATACGAGCGATTAACACCGTGTACAGTCCACCTGAAAAATGTGTTGACAAAGGTGTTTTAATGAAGTTATGTGTTTGCTCCTTATCAACCAGGCAAACTCAAAATCAGTGATAACACGAGACATCAATGGCTCTGAAATGAAACCAAGGTAGCTCCAGATATTTTCCGATAGGGATCCGACACGGGTCTTGGAGCTGACAGGAGCCTCGATCTAGAGTCTCGGAATAAAAAAAAATTATAGTAGGGTCGACAGGAAGTGTTTTTGTGGCTTAATACGGCCCATGCTAAGCTGGCTATAAAAACTCTCCCTACGTAGACCACGTTACTGGCAATCAAAATAACGTTATTTGGATAGGCAAATTATTATTTTGGTCTGACGACCTCATCCGTGTCTAGGCCAGTCCGACGGGGAAGGGAATTCTTTCCCCACACTGGAATCTGTGATTCAAATCAATTTCAAAATTGTTTTATTTTCGCGTATGTACGGTACCATTCATCGGATAATACTTTACCAAAAATCTTGTTTCATAAAACTTCACAACACGGGATAATTCTGCTGGATATCAATATCATCGGAGGTTTTCAGTACTATACGCGAAAACTCCAAAAATCTTTGTTTCAAAACTTGTAATCAAACCTCCGATTTCGGAGTTTCTCTCTATATAGAGAGAGCAAAACATTTACTTAACCCTCCGATTTCGGAGGTTTGCGTACATAAGAGACAGACTATATAGCGCCGGTGCGCCGGCGGATGGGGTAAAATTGCTCTCCGTGTACCCACAATGCCTTTTGAACGGATGTTCCACTTTATTGGGAAGCTGCTCTATCTTTTGCTATTTATTATCTTTGATGATAAATAACAGCTGCCGCCACTTCCATGCCACTGTCACTACAAAACTACCGTCGCCGCCTGCTACTACTACACAATAATTATACAATTAAGAATATTTAAAGATATAATGAATTTGTTTTCTATTATTCAGAATGGAGATCATGAAGTAAATATGAATATACATATTCAAAACCTGGATAATTCATCATTAACACTTTTATCTTCAAGCGCCAGTGAAAACAGGCGCTATACAAATTCTCCAATTTATTATTATTATTATAATTATTATTATTATTATTATTATTATTATTATTATTATTATTATTATTATTATTATTATTATTATTATCATTATCATTATTAATGGACATATTCATGGTGGCTGTAAAAGTTACGAGGAAGGAAAACGAGGGCATACAGTTTGTGGCATACGAGCGATTAACACCGTGTACAGTCCACCTGAAAAATGTGTTGACAAAGGTGTTTTAATGAAGTTATGTGTTTGCTCCTTATCAACCAGGCAAACTCAAAATCAGTGATAACACGAGACATCAATGGCTCTGAAATGAAACCAAGGTAGCTCCAGATATTTTCCGATAGGGATCCGACACGGGTCTTGGAGCTGACAGGAGCCTCGATCTAGAGTCTCGGAATAAAAAAAAATTATAGTAGGGTCGACAGGAAGTGTTTTTATGGCTTAATACGGCCCATGCTAAGCTGGCTATAAAAACTCTCCCCACGTAGACCACGTTACTGGCAATCAAAATAACGTTATTTGGATAGGCAAATTATTATTTTGGTCTGACGACCTCATCCGTGTCTAGGCCAGTCCGACGGGGAATGGAATTCTTTCCCCACACTGGAATCTATGATTCAAATCAATTTCAAAATTGTTTTATTTTCGCGTATGTACGGTACCATTCATCGGATAATACTTTACCAAAAATCTTGTTTCATAAAACTTCACAACACGGGATAATTCTACTGGATATCAATATCATCGGAGGTTTTGAGTACTATACGCGAAAACTCCAAAAATCTGAGTTTCAAAACTTGTAATCAAACCTCCGATTTCGGAGTTTCTGCGTACTATTATTATAAATTCAACAAGCTCTCTCTATATAGAGAGAGCAAAACTTTTACTTAACCCTCCGATTTCGGAGGTTTTGCGTACTAGGGCTATACGCGAAACCTCAAAAATCGAAGTTTCCAAACTTTTAACTAACCCTCCGATTCCTTTGGTTTTGCGTAGTAGCTTGTTTAATTAATAGTAAGCAGAAATTCTGAAATCGGAGGGTTGATTAAAAGTTGAAAACTCCGATTTTGGAATTTTCGCATATACGACGCAAAACCTCCGAAATCGGAGTTCTGGCAGCGGGCGCAGACACTCTGGAGTAACTACACAATGCGGCGGACCACGCCCATAGGCAATTCAGCACAATGACGCTGCGAGTTATTTTCCTAACTTTCTTTTTTACCATTACCGTATATTACAGTACTAGGAATATGCTATTGCAAAAAAAAAAAAAAAAAAAAAAAAAAAAAAAAAAAAAAAAATGCGTGTGTGAAGAATAAACAAAATGATTACTGTATACTGCGTCTGTTTATACCCTACCCATTCTGGTTACCAGTATTTATTTTTGATACTGTATAGGCCTATTATTATTACTGTTATTGTTGCTGCTGCTATGGAGAACTTCGAGAACAATTAAAAATGTTAAGGGGAAAATAACACAAAATAGGATATTCCCCTCTGAATATTAGCGCTAGTTAGTATTATCGTTATTACTATAATAATCATAAATGACAAAAACACTTGTATTGTTATCATTCGTTAACAATCTTAAGAATAAAGACAACAATAATCATATTTTAGGTTTTATTCTTCTATCTCTCAATACAGAAATATACATAATAATGGTAACCTTACAACAATCATACCCGAAATAGTAGTGGACGTTTCATGGTGTCCTTATTTGTCTAATAAAAACGCACTACTCAGTTGGTCCCATCCAAGGTGGGTGAAACTTTTAGGAAAAGTCCCATCATCTATCATACCCCATATTTGGAAAATGTATTCAGTAAATCATTATCGAAGTTATTGCTTATATTGCACATACAAGAGCGACACCAGCGTGCTCTATGTGGCTCCCTCCGTCAGTAGAAACAAATTATGGGAAATTCTCGAACACATTAAGCCTCCAAAGGCCAAAGTAGGCCTCCCGGATCCATCTCCAGATGCACGGAACTTCAGCTTCTCAACCCCCTACAGTCTCTAACAACAAATAAAGTTACTGGAATGTCAAGGTTCAAGGTTCAGCAAATAAAAGAAATTTTATGTTTTATAAATCCTCAATAATGATATACATGGGAGCTTTTGATTTACGCAATGCTAGTACGGATTCACTCATGCATGACCGTCCTACGTTCTCTGCACCAAGTATAGTAGATTTGGTCAAATTGCATCCTAGAATCCATGTGTTACTGTTCTTGCATGCGCAGATGATTTTGTGACGTCATTACATTCTACCTCTTACTGTGTCATGCAATCAAAAGGTCCCTATTACTGTAATATATTTCGCCCTCAAATTCAAAATCCCAAAGCATATATACATATTCCTAATAATCGATTAATAAATAATTTAAAAACTAAAGAAGCAAACAAGAATTGCATCCATAATTAAATTAGGCCTAATATATTATCAATATTATTTTCAACTGATATAACTTTTATTATATAAAAAATTATTATATAGATAAGGAATCAATTATTTTCACCTAATACTAGAATAAGTATATATTGCTGTTACTTTCTTTCACATCAGTAATAAAACCTAAATTAATTAATTATTTTATTTCGACAATAAAGTATTGCTTTACCAAGCCATCTAACAAAACAAGACGAAGATCTTAAAACTACAAAATATTAAGAAAATGATGTAAAAATTTAAGATTAAATTAAAAAATAGGCTTATTGTCTATAGTAATATTATATATATAATATGTAAAAGTAATACATGTACTATTATTATATTAATATTTATAAAATTATGAATTAAGAAAAACAATAAAAAAATAATAACAGTGGTGATGACGACATCGATGATAATAATAATAATAATGATAATAACAATAATCATAATAACAATAATAATAATAATATAATATTAATAATAATAAAATAATTACATACAGCACTAATAAATATAAGTAAAAAATGTACTTCCTAAATAAATTTTTTCTATACTAACACTTCACTTTTATTGAGGTGAAGCAATTGGTGCAATGCTCAACCTCAAGGTCAAAATTCAAAATTCTTGTTTTGTAAGTCACTTGTACCTTTTCCAGACAAGACACTTTATCTTCATTTGAGTATAAATGGGTACCGAGAAAAGTAAAAAGAACATATTATGCTGCTCTGTCTCTTATACACATCTAGATGTGTATAAGAGACAGTTCTACGTCTTACTGTGTCATGCAATCGAAAAAGTCCCTATTACTGTAATATATTTCGCCCTCAAATTCAAGATCCCAAAGCATATGTATACATATTCCTAATAACCGATTAATAAATAATTTAAAAAACTAAAGAAGCAAACAAGAATTGCATCCATAATTAAATTAGGCCTAATATATTATCAATATTATTTTCAACTGATATAACTTTTATTATATAAAAAATTATTATATAGATAAGGAATCAATTATTTTCACCTAATACTAGAATAAGTATATATTGCTGTTACTTTCTTTCACATCAGTAATAAAACCTAAATTAATTAATTATTTTATTTCGACAATAAAGTATTGCTTTACCAAGCCATCTAACAAAACAAGACGAAGATCTTAAAACTACAAAATATTAAGAAAATGATGTAAAAATTTAAGATTAAATTAAAAAATAGGCTTATTGTCTATAGTAATATTATATATATAATATGTAAAAGTAATACATGTACTATTATTATATAAATATTTATAAAATTATGAATTAAGAAAAACAATAAAAAAATAACAGTGGTGATGACGACATCGATGATCATAATAATAATAATAATGATAATAACAATAATCATAATAATAAAAATAATAACAATAATAATAATATAATAATAATAATAAAATAATAAAATAATTACATAGAGCACTAATAAATATAAGTAAAAAATGTACTTCCTAAATAAATTTTTTCTATACTAACACTTCACTTTTATTGAGGTGAAGCAATTGGTGCAATGCTCAACCTCAAGGTCAAAATTCAAAATTCTTGTTTTGTAAGTCACTTGTACCTTTCCAGACAAGACACTTTATCTACATTTGAGTATAAATGGGTACCGAGAAAAGTAAAAAGAACATATTATGCGCGAAATCCCACCTCTTGTACAGCTGGCGTAAATGCTAAGGAAAAAGAGATGGCCATTTTGACCTTTGAACCTAGAGCACTGCTTCTGCCTGCACAGTACCCTCTATTGATGGAACAGTATATAATCATAAGTATAATACATTTATATACTACGTAATTATATAATTACATGATGGAAATATTTTGGAATTATTTTAAAAATATGAAAATACAATATGATTTACAGTCAATTAATTATTCCTTCTGGAGCCTTTAAGGTAGATAATAATGGAATGAAAATCTATTAAGTTTGCTTCCATAAAATTGCTACACGGTCGCTACAATGTTTTCACTAAAATCAATACACTGCGTGTTAAATTACCACTAAACGTCACTGTTCAGCAACATCCTAGAAGAAACACATCAAAATGATTTGTTGATCGAACATTATTTTATACTGTTTTGACAATGCTAACCTGTATTAATTCCAGAGTAGTATTGGATCCATTTCACATAACGAAAAGGCCGAGTTAAAGTTGAGTTGCGCCGACCCGCAGCAATCATGGCTTCAAAAACATTAGGAGCGGTTTGGTGTAGTGGATGCTTTTCTGCTTCTAAACCATGAGGTCGGAGTTTTAATTCCTCGCTGTGTATTTTGTTTGTGTCCTTAAGCAAGGCAATTTACCTACGGTTGTCTGTCTCCACCCAAGAGTACAAGTGGGTACCAGGTAGCTTCAAACACAAAATGAGCTGATTACAGCTGCAACATTATGCAATTCTCCCTAGGAGCTAAGTATGTGTTCCATGTATGCTTGATCCAATGACTAGGGGTAATAATGTAAGCGCATATAGCTCTCTACAATATGCGCTATATAAGTCAATTATTATTATTAAATACTACTCTATATGGTGTGGTTTAGATTGGCAACTCCAGTGTGTACATGAGTTATTCAACCATGAATGTGTCCAGCACATTGAATGCGGAATGTTTGGCAAAAGGAGCCATAGTTTTAGCCGTTTACAGTAATCTTAAACTCCGGTATTTCAAAATTGGGTAATGAAAAATTCCAATTTGTGTTATTTCAGTACAAAAATGGTACAAGTCAGGATCTTCATTTTGGAATGCACTTTAAACTTGGACATATTATTAACGTAATATGATGACTGACGCACGCTTTGGGTGCTTCATGACGCGATATTTTCTTGTGATTGTTAGTCGCAGTAAAAATATATCGCTGTTCGCGTCTCGTCGGTGTCTCCAAATAATCGCGCCATAATAACAGCATCTCTTTATTATACAACTGCAGCGTGGTGGCATGGAAACAGAAGCTGGGGTCTCAAACCGATGTGGAATATATTTTTCTATCGATAAAGTCAGCAGGCAGCGATAGGAGTCATTTGTTATGGTTGACACATTTTTTCATCCATTTTTTTGGGATTGTTATGATTATAAGTGAAAAAAGTAAATCAATCAATGGTTAAGATTACAAATAAAATATTTGTCAGAAATAGTCAACATTTCGGACAGAAATGAATCACTTTTTTTTGGTGCGCACATCCTGTATGGTGAAAACTTTGTTAAAAAATTCCGAAGATGGGAATGATGTTAGTTGAAAACAATAATGACCTTTGAATTGGTTGATGATGATGTTGGTTTGCAATGATCAGTCATGTTCAGAAGGTAAATGATGTGTAGTTCCATATCCATCATGGCAAATGATCAACCACCTTCATATAAAAATTACAGCTTTCATAATCACTTCAACAAAAACTAATGTATGTCCATAAATTCTGACATATCAAGATCATTAATCTCTGAACCATAATGCTAATTAGTATAATACTGATAACTCCCCTCATGTTTTAGTGAAATAAGATGGAGCCGGGATCTTGCTGGTCCATCTCTGCTATATGACGGAGAACATCTTTCTTCGTTATAACTCCAAGAACTCGTCTGAAACATTCAATAATAATAATATTAATAAATTTCATTTTTATAACACTCATTTCTGAGAACAACTCAAGGTGACTGTGACAACAAAAAAAAGCTGAAAAGCAAGGAACACAACTGCAGTGTGAAATTTACTAAACTATAACATAACTAAGAAACTTATCAAAGAAAGATAGATGAAGGAAGAGGTCAGCAAACTGACAATAATTATAACTAAAAACACAATAAAATACCAAAATAATTATCATGTAATAATCATGAAATTAAAATGTAATTAGTAATTTGGCTTAACATGGTATTATTACAATATAACAGTAGTTAATAATAATGATTATATACCCACTTCCTATGAATATTGGTGGTGGAAACAGTTTCATTTTACTGATTAATTATGCAAATAAGCAATTAGCTTAATTACACAGGTACCCAAATCATGAGGGTCCATCTTTTTACTCTTACCTGACAACAATACCAAATACAATAACCTCCCAGTAGAAAAACAAAAGTGCAAACTTACCCATTGTGCGTAACTAAACACAGCCTCAAACCAAGCTTCCTAAACATCTCAACCACGGTGCTCATCGGTGTCTGATCCGTAATTTGAAAAGGACACTGCAAAAACGAAAAAAAATTCAATGGGAATCATAACTTAAGATAAACCAATATTGTCTTAATGAAAATATTTATTTTATAAATAAGAAACATAATCTCTTTATAAAAAAAATTACCCATAATCCTACTTACAGCATCAATGATGTTGACGAGCTTCAGGGGTGCTGGGGTACCAGGTGGTGCGTACCGAGGTAGATGATGCGAGAAGTATACTTTTGATTGGCTGACCACGCCTTCTTCATTCTCACGCGCCGTTGCTGGAAAAGGCAAATAAATAGGGAGTTAAATGTAAGCCGATAATGATAAGGAATTAATAATAATATGTATGTATTGGAAATGGAATTGCCTACCATTAATTTTTTATATTATTTTACTTATACATTAAATATTTATTTCAATATTAACTAAAAAAAGAGTAAATTTCCTTCTGTAATACTTCTATCTATTGACATGTCAAAGGTTAATTTTTAATTTTCACTGAAGTATATCATAGCACTGCCAGTGGCGTATCTACACAGCGTTTGGCCCAAAGCACACCAATGGCAATTTGCTGAGCAAAAAAATTACACTTAAGTAGTTAAATTAATCACTTATCACTTCCCTTTCCCAGCTCCCACTTCCCAGACTCAACCTTCTTCACCCCAAATGACCCTCATGTCAGTATTTCAAGATACACCCAAGACCACTGCACTCACCTATGGCCCGTGTTAAATCTCTCCTGTACACTAATCCAACAAGTCTCTGCGACTCCGCTGACACAATTACAGGATAGGAGTTATACGTTGTCTCAGTGATTATATTTTCTAAGGGGAAAATATTTAAACTAAAAAGTTACATAATATGACCTTTATTAATAATCAAAAAAATTGGAGGACAGAAAATACGGGTTGCTGCAGGGTTCGAAGCTGTGACCTCTACAATACTGTTCTGAAGGCCTGGCAACTGAGGTAAACCACTCCAGATGGAAAAGTTCATTCCCAGTTCAATACTTTGCTCAAGATAGGATAGAACCTCATCATATCTGTTGCCTATATGAGGTATAGCAATATTGGGAGAATATGAGAATTATCTCATCACTATATTTATCTTACCTTCATTTGCTCAAACAGATTCTTTTTAATGAACAGTTTTTCAATGTTATTATCAAAAACTACAGTGATTTAAAAGTGAGCTCTGTAAAAACACTAAAGTCAAGTCCTGTACTTAGGCAACATAATTATTTTTAGCCTGATTGTGAAGGAATGCACCAATCAGGAAGCAATACAGAATGATGTCATACCTATCTCCTCAACTGACATACTCTCCTGTGTTAGGGATGATAATGGCGGATCAGACCGTCTATGAATGAAAACAAATACAATCAAAGGTTAATCATAATGATGACAGCATCACATTGGCAAGGCGTACAATCACATTCAGGTGGACATCAGTGCCCCATGTGGTGGGGACAAGAATCTACTAAAGGTACTTAAAATTACAATGTAATACAGTACAAGATAGAGTATCTGGATCTGGAGTTTTATTGACCTGACCCCGTTTGCAAACCTATGGAATACTCCTTAAAGGAACTGAGTATGTTATCCATAGCAGTGGTGGATCCAGGAATTTGAAATAGAGGGAGCCCCAGGAGGGCCTCTCACAAATGGTGGGCCCAGACCAACTCAACCCCATCAGAGTAAGTAATTGAAAGCTGTGTTAGTTTTTAACAATAACAGAAAAAGACACTTAATTCAAGTTAAATCTCATTTACTTGGAAACATTCCAATTTAAGGCTGCCTTTTAGTTATATAGGGGCTTTTTTTTTAAATTTCTCTTTAAAAAGCTTAAACATTTTTTAGGTTATTTCTTTTCAGTTGAGTTATAGGTTTTTAGAGTTGTTTGAAGCCTCGTTGAGTTTGCAGGTTCTTGCTCCTTTATTTTAATCTTATACCTTAAGTCTGCTTGCCTTGGACAGAACTACATGCAGCAAAATCTAATTATGAACTCTCCTTAAACCATATTCCCAAAAAAGCTTCTCCCAAAATTGGGGCCCCTATCCACTAGACTAGTATAGTAAACAAGGTACATATAATCTACCTTGGTCTCATTACATCGGCCGCAAGAGTTGTGTAAATAAACTCTTTTTTACTGTCCAGAAACGGATAACCGTTTAACTTAATGTGACCATCATATCTAAATTGCAATTAAGGAAAGAATTAATGCTGACAATGAATAAAAACATAAAAGAAAATAAATCAAATCTGAATCTAAATATTTTGTGGTTATCAATGCAAAATGGTGATGGTTAATCACTGAGGAAAAACTAAACAAAACTGCTTTTGCACAAGTTTGATGGTTTACTGGTATGGCACCTGGCCGGTAATTCTGGATTGTCATCCTAAGTTATAATGAATGATGACAGAACAGTTAATGTGTTTTTATATATTGTTTTCATAGTTTGTTTTAAAATAAACATTTTTTAAGCGCAGGTGTCAACAACATAAACACAAACAAAAATGACATTAATGCACACAGTGTCATAATCACTCGACCAATGTCTGGTGGCGCTACCTTCAATAGAAAAGGATACATTCCTTCATGCACCAGGGCATCACCGACCCACTTACTGATCATCACGGCAACCATGAGCGGGACGATATACTCCAATCCGCCCGTTAATTCAAACATTATGACAACCAATGATACTGTAGAAGGAAAAAAAAAAACACATGCATTTCATTCCAATTTGTATTGACATTTAACAAGAAATTTGATTTTCTTACCCTCGAGCATAAAAGAAAGTAATGGATTCGCCCCACATATTCAGGCAACACTTAATAAAACAATGTTTCTAAATACAACTGGTGATTCCATTATTTTCTTGAGGGTGTTCTACAGTTTACATTAGAAATGAATAGACGAACCTGTCATTCGAGTGACCCCTCCTAGTGTGGCTGCTGCCCCCACCATAGCGTACAGTCCTGGCATTATGCACGGTTCGTTTGGTTTACACGAGTCAAAGAACGTCCAGCCTGGTTTATTGCTGTAAAATAAAATCACAGACTATAATTTGGATGCTTTGTTAATGGAAAAAATGTTAAAGAGGGAGAAGATTTATATTAGGTGTATAACTTATATCAGGACACGATCCAAAAACACTGAAGGGTACTCTACCAACTGCGCCATAATGCTGAAATTTTATGCTCTCTTAAATTTAACCATTGAGAACAAATTTTTCTCAAGGTAGAATTTATTTTGTATAGTAAATATGATAATGATAAAGGAATAAAAATATACCAATATATAGGCCTACTTTTATTATCACTGTCAAATTTATCATCACTTTAATTATCATTACTTAATTATATATGTTATTTAAATTTTTAATATTTGGATTTGAAGATTAATTAGGCAAATGTTGAATTTTCCCATAATGCTTAGGATGCTTTGCTTTTGATTTCACACTATCAAATTCTATGTGTGAAAAAAAAAAAGTTATACGCTCATATTTAGGTGGAATATCACATTTTTTTTGTCACAAAAAAAATTGATAGTGTGTGAGCTTTAGCTTTATAAAGATAATTAGCACAGAGGGCAGCAAATATTCCCATGCTGTAACTAACATGAGTACTTGCTGTGGAATTAAGTTAAATGTCGAAAAAAAATTATAAAAAAGGTTACTTACACTGCAAGTTGTTCAATGCCGATACCCATAATTCTTCCGACGATAGCGCCAACTGCCATACTCGGGATAAACAGGCCTGCTGGTACTTTAATGCCGAACGTGAAGACTGTGATAATGGATTTGAAAAGCAGGGCTAGTGATAGCTGCCACATGGCATGGTAAATTCCGTGGCCCGCGGTGGCTCCAGGCCAGTTCGTTTCATCGGTGTCTGTAATATTTCGTTGATAGTCGCTAAAAAGGAGTAAAAATCAAAGATGAAAACTTTTTTAAATAAAATTTCCATCTGCATTTCTTTCTTAAATAAAAAAAATTGATTTAGGAAATAAAACGTAATTGTCAAAAATTAAAACATATGCCAGTCAAACTGGTGTTTCAAACTAGTCACACAACAAATCTTTGTTTTAATCAAAAACATAGCTTTTCTTTCCCATCATTATCGTAAATTATCCAAATTAATTATCATTATCAAAAGCTAGTCAATTGATCTACAGACATCAAAACTACTAACCATAAATTAAACTCATCTTCTGGGCCACAATTCTGGAAGAGCTTAGCGATTAACTCGCTCGTATTTTGTTTTGTGTATGGATTAAGAAAGCTGACGACAGCTGTAATTAATGTCAGAACAATCACCTGTAATGAAAAAGAAAACAAAAGTTGTAGCTAAAAATACTCCATTTTTGCTTTCGATGACTACATAAACATACCTATGCAGCACCGCTATTTATTTATTTATTACAAATTTGACAAACTTTCATTATTAGTTTATTACTACACTATATTATTGTATAGGCTGATAGATTATTATATTATACACCACTTTCTAGTGTTCCTGATATGTTTATATATCATGATGCCAGTGTCTACCACACTATATGTTGAGAAAGGTCGCAGTTGCAACCGAAATATTGGTGAAGAGAAATAGAAGTTTTCATAATATAAGAGTTGTTTACCTCTGTGATAGCGTAGTTTCCCAGAGAAGATGTTTTACGATATCTGCACCATTTTAAGTTAAAATAATTGAAGAAAGCACCATACAAACCCTGTCAAATATAAAATAACAAAATTAGGTCCTATAAAAAATATTATTACTTTATCACCATATCTAGGCTGGAAAAGTGATGAGGGAGGGAGAAATTTTTTTTTTTTTGCTGAAGCCAAATATCAGCCCTGGGTTGTTTGCTGGTGCATTGATATTCAAAGGAAAATATTATTGCGAAAATACAAACAACATCTACCAACTATTTAATAAAAAAAAAAAAAAAAAAAGTAAAAAAAAAAAAAAAAAAAAAAAAAAGTACCATACAAATAAGAAAAAATTTATTGGACCTTATCAGAAAGAAAACAATAATCAGAATACAAATTTCAGTACCATACAATTAAGAAAAAACTATTGGGCCATATCAGAAAAAATAAACAATAATCAGAATAATAAAATCAAATAAAAACAATAATAATAATAAAAATAATATCACAAAAAAATATTTATACCAATATCATTAGGAATGATAATAGAATATTATAAATATAGCCAGCTAACTAATTAGACCACAGTATAGCAATGGTCTACTGTCAGAGACCATTATCAATATCACAACTATAACCACCTAGGCCTACCTATAAGGAAGTTTTTATTAATCCTTAGTTCTGGATGACGTGAAATAGAGAGAGAAACCCTTATCTTAAATTACCCCATAAATACTATGTGATTTCAAAGAGCTACAAAATAAAACTAATAGGAAAAAATTTGAGATACTTACACCAAAGATGCCAAGTAAAATGAATGGAAAGAGCTCCCAGACGAACCACGGGTTATCGTAATCGATGTAAAACATGACAAGATGATCGGTACTGAACGGGTTGATTGCTCGGAGTACAAAAGCCGCAACAAGAGCACAGAAGAAAGAACGCCACAGCGTCTTCAGTGGGAAATAGTAGCTAACCTAAAGATCATCAAATAAACAATAAAAACATCCATAATTTATTTATTCAGATACATACAATTATATAATAAAATAAAATATAACAAATGTCACCAGGGAGTCTAGATCAGGTTCATTATGTAACATGTGTGGCAAAGAAAAGCCAAACCAGTCACTCCTCAAAATTGTGTTTTGGAGATAATGGCCAAAACATGCTGGAAAGTCAATATTTTGAAAATCTATTTTATTGCACTAAACTAAACTTTATATATCTATGCATCATACTATCTTGTTATTTTCCCCAAATTTTCAACATTAAACAACATATTTTTGGTGACGGTCTTTGCCTGAGAAATAGCTGTAACAGTAAACTTTGAATGCAAATTTCTCAATACAGTTCTTTAAGCAACAAAGAAATGTCGAATTTGAATGTTTCTTGATGTTACCATTTTATAGCTATAAATTATGAAACAAATACACTCAAGTAATTTAGAACTATTATTTTTTTATATTGAAAATTAAAAAAATGTATGGAATTTGCATATGTGTGTAGTTCTAACACGCTGTCTCGTGCTACCCAGTAACAGAAAATCTTGTCGTCCGCCACAGAGGCTGTCTGTTCCGATACACCGGGGTATTCCCCTACTTGTCTCGAATGGTGTACTGGGTTCTTTATAGTGCACACGAGCCATTGTTTAGACTAGGCCTACGGTTTATAGTCCTTATCCGAGAAGACTTGTTCTACCACCAAAACCATAGGCGAGCATGTCGTTCGAACTGGCACCAATATTAAGGCTTTAGGTTGCTCAGCTCGGCCATTCCACTTGCATATCAAGTGTATTTAATGAAATTAGCTTTGAAAAACAAACTGCGAAAGCTCACCTCTTCCAAACTAAACAAGACGCCACCAATTGGAGCACCAAATGCTACGGACACACCTGCGGCAGAAGCCGCTGATAACACCTGTTGTAAAAAAAAAAAAACTTTAAAGAAGAAAATCCTTAAAAATACATACGAGGTTTGATTGTTAAATTGAGTAAGTAGCCTACCACTTGGAAGGTTAGCTTTGTGTTAAAAGATTGAAGAATCTTGTTTGGTTATTTGAAAATGTTGTCTGAAATTATAGGAGTCTCAAAATTAGAGGAGTCTCGAATGTAGAATGCACTGTTGGAAAGGTACTGTGCATACATACTGTTAAATTGGCAAAGTAAATTTTGATGTCATTCTAAAGTTTGATTACTGTAACATACATAGTGGATAAATAAATATTGAAATTTTCTCTTTAGCCTGACATAAAAAGTTTATTTTTTAAAACATTTGCCGAGTTGTATACTAACGCGGCGAGACACAGAGAGCGACATTATAAGCTGTGGAAACACGGCCTCCGACACAAAAAGGTGGAAAAAAAGGGTGGTTCTGCAGCTTTTCCCCAAGGTTTTAATATACTTATAAATCTGTATCTCATTATCCATTCCTGAGCTTTTTGTCACACACCCTTTTGTTTCTAAGAAAAATCAGTGGTACATCAGTATCAAAAAATTTGTTTTCCTTCGGAGTTTCATTTCAAAGGTTAAAATGCCCTTACCTCTCTCTTTTTAGCCTCATTTTTTCCATATTTTGGAAACATGTATGAAAAGATGTTTCCACAGCAGCATGCCACGTGAACAAGTGGCCCCTCCTTGCCCAAACTTAGTCCGGCCGCAACAGCTAACATCATTGTCATCGACTTAATGATTAGAGTCCATTTGCCCAGATAACCTCGGATTATGAATCCACTTAAAATAGTTTTGATCTAAAATATATATAATAAAAAAATAATATAAAACATATGTGGCAAAGACAAGCCAAACCAGTCACTCGTCGCAAATCGTGTTTCAGAGAAAATGGCCAAAACATGTTGGAATGTCAAATTAGTTTGATTACTGTAACATACATAGTGGATAAATAAATATTGAAATTTTCTCTTTAGCCTGACATAAAAAGTTTATTTTTTAAAACATTTGCCGAGTTGTATACTAACGCGGCGAGACACAGAGAGCGACATTATAAGCTGTGGAAACACGGCCTCCGACACAAAAAGGTGGAAAAAAAGGGTGGTTCTGCAGCTTTTCCCCAAGGTTTTAATATACTTATAAATCTGTATCTCATTATCCATTCCTGAGCTTTTTGTCACACACCCTTTTGTTTCTAAGAAAAATCAGTGGTACATCAGTATCAAAAAATTTGTTTTCCTTCGGAGTTTCATTTCAAAGGTTAAAATGCCCTTACCTCTCTCTTTTTAGCCTCATTATTTCCATATTTTGGAAACATGTATGAAAAGATGTTTCCACAGCAGCATGCCACGTGAACAAGTGGCCCCTCCTTGCCCAAACTTAGTCCGGCCGCAACAGCTAACATCATTGTCATCGACTTAATGATTAGAGTCCATTTGCCCAGATAACCTCGGATTATGAATCCACTTAAAATAGTTTTGATCTAAAATATATATAATAAAAAAATAATATAAAACATATATTCCAACACTATTATCATTATCATCTTCATTAACTACACAAACAATACTGTACTATTATTTGTATTATCATCATCATATGTAAAATAATTTTTTTTTTTTCATTTCGTCAAGAGTCAATGCATCTTGGAAAAACATGCTACATAGATTGTGTATTGTGTGCAGTTTTACAAATATTATTATTATTATTATTATTATTATTATTATTATTATTATTATTATTATTATTATTATTACAAAATGATATTTGCCCTACCTGACGTGTTATTAGTACTGAATGCATAGTACATTCCAAAATACTTGCAAAAAAAATCTCGCAAGTGAGTCAGGTGGGAAAAAAAAAGCCATTGGAATAGCATTGCAGTACCCGCCACTACTTTGGGATCAGATTTATCACTAGCTAACATGCGCAGGCTCGGTGGTCTAGTGGTTAAGAAATCAGGCTAGCTATATGGAGGCAAAGGGTTTCGGTTCCCACCCGAATCACTTGATCACATGATTTTTTTCACAAGTATTTGGGATTGTGCTGAGCATTCATTACTTATAACATGTCAGGTAGGGCAAACATCATTTCATATTATTTCTCCTGACGAAAAAAATGCCATTGGAATATTAGTATTATTATATTATTATCAATTATTATTGTAATCATTATCAACATCATCCTTATGATCACCAACAATAAAGCAACATTAAATAATGGATATTAATCTAGCATTCATTATTTGTACTTAGTTATGAATAATTATATTAATTTAAATTATTATATTTGTTATCAATCAAAGAATAAAATGATATCAAACATAAATATCCACAAGGAAATTACCACTCTTGAACACTTATTGATGGAACTCAATGTATCAATTGCTTTCTTGATGGATTCTCTTATCTTTAAAGCTTGACTACATCAATCTTTTTTTTTTGTTATTGAATTTTTATAAACATGTTTTAGTTTATTTTATCTTTTTCTTTTTATTAGGTCTATTGTAATTTTTTAATGTATTTTAACGTCTTTTTAATTATTGTATTCATGTTTTTTATACTCTATTTCAATAATATATTTGAATAGTATATTTAGAATTATAATTGTTAACATAATATTTTATATTATTTGACGTTGTCATAAGGAAAGCCCCTCGACAGTAAATAAATCTTCTACTTTTGCGCAATCACCTGCCACATGACAACTATATATTTATATATTATTATGGCGCAATAAAAAAAAACAAAGGCTGTTTGGCACATTATAAGCAAATGAAAGGGGAAAAAACAAACAACACTTTACCTCTGGGATGCCAGACCCACAGGCATAGGGTGCAAAGACCCTGACAAGCATTACAGCCATCAGTGCCATAGTAACAGCTAAGATCACAAAAAACAAATAGTTGATCAGAAACGCAACAGTTCCCTGTTCCTGAATCCCAAGTATCTCCGCCCACGTGTACCACTGAGGGCAGTCTATTTCACCAAAGCCGGTATTGTTTGTCGCCCAGCAACACTGTTCCGTGTTCAACCAGAAGGCTTTACGGCATACGCCATTTTTGAGGTCACTCATCCATCCTGTTCCTATATCTATGATACCGGCACAACTGCCTAAAAGAAAAATTTAAAAAAAAACCAGCTAATGATAAAATAATTAAAAAAATCATCTGATTTTTATATATTTTAGATGAAATATGAATATAATAATAATAGTAATAATAATAACAATATGATTTACATAGCGCCTTTCCAAAATGATTGAGGCGCTTCATAATGACTAAAACCACCTAATATCTGTAAGTCTTACAAAAACAGAATCACTACACGGAGGTAACATTAAACTGAAATGAAACCAATAATAATACTATAAGAATAATTTACAAAACCTGACAAAAATAGGAATTATCTAAAATTTACAATTTATACAGTATTATTATACAATTATTATTATTTAACAATTTAATTAAAGCAAGATTATAATTATATTATATTATTCAGGTCTATAAGAATATAAACATTTGAGAGAATCCAATTCAAATACTTACTTGAATTGGGAAATATATAATGATGATGATAATGGAAATAATTATTAAAGAGACACTTCACATGATAAAGATAGCATATTATTACAATTAATGTTCAATATAAATATGCAAATCAGCATGACCTTTGTCCTACCTGCAGCTATACCAACCAATAGAACGACGAGCCATCCTGAACCGTCATCAATGGATGCGCAGAACCGAGCCCAACATGATTGCTTACGTTTGTTTCGTATCTTTTTTTGTCGTTGCATGTACCGGTTCTTATCGTGCAACCAATCTATCGTGTAGAAGTCTTCATATTTGTCATTGATTCCTGGTGCCAGAGGCTCAAATGTGTCCACCAATGAGCTGCCTGCAAAGCAATATAACAAACATTTAAAAAATGTATCAACCAATCAACTGCCTGCAAAGTGATAATACAAACATTTAATAAATGTATCAACGAATCAACTGCCTACAAAGCAATAGTACAAATATTTCAAAAATGTATCAATCAATCAACTGCCTGCAGAGTGATAGTACAAACGTTTAAAAATTTTCTTACTCAATTTTAATTACTTACTAATTTTTAATTATATATTTCTATATTTTAATTATATATTTTGTTGTATATTGTAGTATAGAGTATTTGCATGTGATAAAGTTGAATAAATAAATTATAAATATTCATTTATGTACATTTTGATTTTAAAGATAGTACTTCTGTCTAGTAAACACAATAATTAAATCATTAATTAATCATAAAATTCATTACACAATATGGTACATACAGTACTATACAATTTAAACTAATTAAATGTATTTTTTTTAAACATTCTGATAAATACTTAACATACATTACTTATTCATACATATCAATTCATTACAACAATTTAGTATGCAGTAAAATACCTTTTAAAATATTGTTTAATAAATTATATAAATATCTAAAGATACTCCTTGCATTCCTAGCTATTTAGGAGAAAAATGCATCCATTAATAATCTGAATTACTCTGTTTATCAACATCAGAGATTTTTACGATGCCATTTACAAAGTCACTACGCTACGTCAAAATATAGTAATAGCATCGTCATAATCTTTAACTCCCCTGTGAAAAGTGGTACGGTTCGTCTCGTAAGCTGAGGTTAAGTATGAAATATATTATAAGAAGCTACATTGAGCTTCTCACTCCTGACATTCAATCTTGATCAATTTATTGCTCTTGAAGTTTTACAAAAAAAGGTGGATAGGTGTCCTCAATATTATATAAATAATATATATGAAGAATATAATTAACATAATTAAAAATAAAATTAGCATATAATAAAAAGTGGAGAAATCCAATATTTTAAAAAGGCATTGTTTAAAACAATATTTAATATTATTAGTAATAATGTTAATATAATTAACAATAATATAAAATAGTAATACAAGTTGTTAAAATTTCAGTCAAAAATAATGATGATGATTATAGAGTAATAATAATTATATTAATAATAAACACCTCAAATTATATGGATTTATGTTGAGAGGTCATGTGTTTTAATTACCTTGCGTCAGGTCAATAATTCCTCGTTTTGAGTGGCGGGACTTTCCATCACTGATATCCAACAATTCATCGTCGTCATCTGGGTCGTTAAATGTACTCTGATAGTGATTGCTATTTAAAGATTCCGTCTCATCTAGTAACCGTGAATGTTCCATGGGTTCTAGTTCTACCCTGAGAAAAAAAGGTATATAAGAAATAACGTATCTTAATAATTATGTTGTAATTATATTCACTATGTAATTCTTCTATCTATTGAGGTACAGTATTCCGAAATAAAGTGAAATGAAAATGAAAAATATTTATAATTTAAATCACAAGTAGTAGTGACTCGACTGAAGTGTTTGTGATGCACAAGCACTCGTATAGAATGTATAAAATTTACTTATAAATATGAAATGGATTTAAAAAGAAAAATTTTGTTGCCTACTAAAATTATGATTATAAACATCAAAGTTTAATAAAAAATATTATCAAATAATATTATTTTATAGTGCTCATATTATTCACTATATATATATATACATATAC